TCAGCCCACCAGGGGGCGGGGCTGGCTGGCATGTGGTGCTGGGGGATTGAACCACAGTCCCTGTGCTTTGCTAAGCTTGTTCTAAGTAGGTGCTTTAGACCACTGAGCCATCTCACCAGCCCCTCTACACAGCGTCTTAAAAAGCTTTCCAGGGAACTACTACCTGTTGTATAACTACTACCAGGCTAGTTTTGAACTCACACCAATTGTACATAAAATGCTGTATTACGATTTTTGAATAAATTTGGAAGGAAACAAATTCAGTTTTGTCTTGTTTTGGTTTTGCTTTTGAGGCAGGGCCTCACTCTGTAGTGTTTGCTAACCTCAGATTCATGGTGATCCTTCTCCCTCAGCCACCTGAGTACCGGGATACACTTGGCACGAACTCAGTTTTAAGTAGGCCATTGGAAATACTGGTCTCCCTGTAAGCTAAAACAGGACTGACAATAAGGAGTCAGCAGTGTCTGGATCACTTGCTCTAAGAGTCAGAGTTTTTTGTGGTCACCCAGGAAATTTAACAACAATGCCAGTGGCTGGCCTGACTGTTGTTTGAGGCAGTCTCTGAAGGTGGCTGGTGCCAGTACCCTTTGGAAAGGCTCCCGCTGTGTGTAACAGAATCTAAGGGATCAGGCTGGGGATACAGCGCAGTGGCACAGCTGCCTGCTTGGCAAGCACAAGGTCCTGAGTTTCATTGCCAATACCAACATAAAAGAAGGGATTGCAGTATTTATGAGTAAGTCAAGGGAAAGTGTCTTTTTTTTAAATTTTATTTTAGTGTGTGGCCAGCTCAGCCCACCAGGGGGCGGGGCTGGCTGGCATGTGGTGCTGGGGGATTGAACCGCGGTCCCTGTGCTTTGCTTAGCTGAGCTTGTTCTAAGTAGGTGCTTTAGACCACTAAGCCATCTCACCAGCCCCTTTTTTTGCCTTTTTAAGACCGGATCTTGCTATGCAGTTCAGGATGGCCTTGAACTCATTTGTAGCCCAGGCAGGCCTCAAACGCACAATGATCCTCCTGCCTCAGCTTCCAGAGTGTTGTGATTACAGGTGTGCGCCACCATGCCTGGTTGAAAAGTCTACTCTTTTGTGGCCCAAGATGGGTCTTTTCAACTTCACTGTTCCACTTTTCTGTTGTAAAATACTAGTGAGGTATCCACATGATAACTAGGCATGAATATGTTTCCAACAGAACCTTCATTGATCTGTTTCTCCCATATCTGGGAGTTCTCAGCAGTTCTTTTGGCTCTCATTTCTTAAATCTCAACAAACTACTTCATGTGAAAATGGCAGGCCGGCCAGACAGTTCAGCAAATTAATGTACCTGCTTAGTCACATGCAGGGACTGGGATTCGTTCCCTGGAGTGCTGTGCCGGCCCCACCCCTGGGGCGCGCTGAGACAGCAAATGAGACTGGGCATGGTGACATGCACCTGTAATCCCAGTGCTTGGGAGGCTGAAAACCGGAGGATCACTACAAGTCCAAACTTTGTAGTGAGACCCTGTATGTACTAAATCCATTAAAAAAAAAAAAAACTACTAGCCTACAAATATTGTTCTTTTTTTCTCTTTTGAGTATTGGGGACTGAACCAAAGGTATTTATGGTTGAGCTACATCTCCAGCTTTTTTATTTTTTGAAAGTGTTTTACTAAGTCACTCAAGCTGGGCTCAAATTTGCAACTTTGTCAGGCTCAGTGGAGGGCTGTGATTCCAGCACTTGGGAGGCTGAAGCAGGAAGACTGCCATGAGTTCCAAGGAAGGCAGCCTGAGCTACATAGTGAGACCTCGTCTCAGAAAGAAAGAAAAAAGCACATCTCAGGAGGCTGAGGCAGGAGGATCAACTGGAAAGTTCAAGATCAGCCTGGGCTACAAAATGAGCTCAAGGCCAGTCTGAGCTGCATAGGGAGACACTGTCTCAAAAAATGGCCAAAGAAAAAGAAAAAAATGTAATCCTGCTTCAGCTTTGCAGAGTGCTGGGACTAGAATGTACCACAATGCCAGGATTACAAATCATTCTTTGTTTTTTAATTTTGTTTTGTTTTGCGACAGGATCTCACTGTGTAGTATAGGCTGGCCTTGAACTCATGGTGTAGCCCAGGAGGGTGTGTGTCGTCACACTCAGCTATAAATCATTATCTGAGGCTCAGCCATACCTGATCATGTGTAGTAGCCCAGTGGAAAGGCCTGTCAGGAACTATTTGTATGAAAGACCCCCAGGGCCCAGAGTCACCAGAAAAAATAAACTTTAGTTTTTTCCCTAGTATGGGGATCAGACCCAGGGCTTTGTATGTTAGGCAACTACAGTACAAACTATGTCATTGTTAGACTTTTTGGGGGTTTTTTTGGTTTGTTTTTATAGTTCCTAGGCATTGAACACAGGCCTCACATATGCTAAGCAAGTGCTCCACCACTAAGCTATATTCCCAGCCCCACTCCTTTTGTCTTTTTGAGACAGGGTCTTGCTATGCAGCTCAAGCTGGCCATGAGCTGACTTTGTAGCCCAGCCTGGTCTTTAGCTCACTATAGTCCTACTCGGCCTCTTGAGTGCTGGGATTACAGGCATGGACCACCATGCCTGGCTTCTCCAGTTTTGTTTTGTTTTTTTTAACTTTTTTTTTTTTGGTGGTACCAGGGATCAAACTCCAGATCTGTACTTATCTTTTTTTAAAGTTTTTATTTATTTATGTGTGTGTGTGTGTGTGTGTGTGTGGCCAGCTCAGCCCACCAGGGGCCGGCGCTGGCTGGCATGTGGTGCTGGGGGGTTGAACCGCGGTCCCTGTGCTTTGCCAAGCTTGTTCCAAGTAGGTGCTTTAGACCACTGAGCCATCTCACCAGCCCCAGAAGCACTTATCTTACTGAGCCATCTCCTCGGCCCCAGCCCTCTTTTTTTTGAGACAGGGTTTCACTATGCAGTTCAGACTGGTAGCTCAGGCTGGCCTTGAACTCTCAGTGATCCTCCTGCCTCAACCTCCCAAGTGCTGGAATTACAAGTGTGTGCCATCATGCCGAACTGTTTTTATTTTTGAATCAGGGTCTTGTATAGTTGCTTAGGCTGGCCTCAAACTTGTAATCCTTCTACCTCAATCAGCCTCATGAGTAGCTGGGATTACAACTGTATACTACTGCACCTGGACACCTTATTCCCAATATTAAAACAGCAGGACCCTGTAGGATAATGGTTTCCATGTCTATTCACGTTTGTAATTTACCTAAAGCCAAGTTCTTTTCTAGTTCACATTCAATCTATTGTTATCTTGGATGTTGTGGTGCAGCACATCAGCAATAAATGGGTTTCCCACTAGGCAAAAGATGCTGGTAGGTTTCCTTATTTTTATTTTCTTTATTCCCTTCTAGCAGTTATAATAGCTGTGACTCAATCCTCTTCCAGTTGTGTTTGTGACTTACTTTCTGCATGTAATAGCAAGACAGGGTGAGCAGGAATGGGGCCACATAAACAGAGCTTAGGACCAGTCGATGAGGTGTTAAGAAAGGAAGACACTCTCAGGAGCTTAGGGGTTAATTGGTCCCAGTGTCCACTTGGCTCAGTGAAAATAGATAAATTTGAATTAGGAGAATTTTTAATTCAGTATGAATAGCTGTTGCAAAGAATTGGTGAACAGGAAAGAAATACAGATCAATTTAATGGAGACCTGAATAAGAATGATAGGAATGAAACATGGTTTCTGCCTTCAAGGAGATGTCTATCAAGTAACTTACAGAATGGCAGAATGAGATAATTTTAAGTAGGTATACAATAAAATTATTCTCTTCAAGAAGATGAGGGGCAAGTAGAGCGCATCCTTAACATGTAGAAGGCTCTTGGTTCCATGCACACACGCACAGAAAAGGGGAGAGATAAGGAGAAGGGAAGACTTTGTGGAAAGATGGCATCCGGGCTTGGCATCAAAACTGAGAAAGCGTCCATCAGAATGTTAGCAGCAGAGGATGAGAAGACAGCCTGAGTTCTGAAGTGTGTCAGGGGCATGGTCAGCAGATCGGTGTAATCAGAGCATCAGGTACAGGCAAAACTGGTGGGTGAGCCTGTTACTTTTTAATGTTCCTGTTTGTTTCATTGTTGTATAAGGCCCACCTCTTTCCCTGATACTTCTCAAGGACTTCAGTATCCTTTCGTAAACAAAATAAGGATGGAACTGCATTTCTGCTAACGACCAAGTAGGAATCCTGAATGATTTTTTTTTTTTTTTTTAAACAAATGACTTGCCTCATTTAGGGTTTCTGAAATGTCCCAATTGGAAATCAGTGCTGTAGAAAGCTAGTGATTCTATGGGATGCATCTTCCTCAACTATTCTGTGGTAGAAACAGATTTGAGAATGACTGACTAAATTCTCCCAAGAACAAGAACCTTGTAATTGCTTTTTAATTTCCCTGAAAATTCCTGTTTGGGCTTTTTTTTTTTTTTTTTTTCCAAGAGCACAAATGCACTTTTATTTTCTGTTAAATTCTTGAGGGGTACAGCATCACACGGATTCAGTGTCCGATGGCCTTAGCAGGAAGGTTGCTTCAGAACTTGGCACGAACCATGCTGCTGTTTCCATGGACCTGAGTTACTTTTCCCCAGATCACTCTGGTTTTGTTTGGTTTGCCACCTGGAGTCACTGTGTTGTTTTTCACTTTGTACACATAAGCACATCTCTTGCCCAAGTAGAATTCTGTTTCATCCTGGGCATAAACACCTTCAATTTTAAGAAGAGCTGTGTGTTCTCTCTGGTTCCAGAGACCCCGCTTATAGCCAGCAAAAATGGCCTTGCACCACAGTCTTCCAGACATATTTGACTTTTAGCAGTGCTGTTCCCAGCAGGCCTCTCCAGGCTCCAAGATGGCGGAAAAAGCTTATTTGGGCCTTTATAGGCAATTTATATTGTCACCATTTCCCGCTGTAATTTTATGAACAACAGTTGTTTTGGCCAATTCATTTCTGACCATCTGAAACTGGAAAAATAGTTATGAGTCCATGCTTCTAACCTCATTGCCTGTGTTTATACAGAATTCTCACGATGGATGGGCTCATTGAGGACATTAAGCGACGAAGATATTATGAAAAGCCTTGCCGCCGCCGCCAGCGGGAAAGCTATGAAACCTGCCGGCGGATCTACAACATGGAAATGGCTCGAAAGATCAACTTCTTGATGAGAAAAAATCGTCCAGATCCATGGCAGGGCTGCTGAAGCCTGTGGTTAGCAGGTTCACATCCAGTTTGTGTCTCCACATCTTCCTTGAAACTCATTTTGTTACCTTTCTCTATAATAAACTCAGTCACATTTATGCAGTAAGGTCTACATACATAAAACCATCCTACTAATGAGCAGCACCCCCTCTTTTATTACGGAGAAACTGAATTCAAAGCAGTAAGGAATAAAGTGATGATTGCCAGGTCTTGGGAGAAGGGGCAGTTTGGGTCAGAGTTTCAGTTTGCTGAGATGAAAAAGTTCTGAAAATGGATGGTGGTGACGGTTGCAGAGTGAATGTACTTAATGCTGCTGAAGTGTACACTTAAGTGGTTCAGAGCAGTGATCAGACGTTTTAGAGCTTTCAGTGATACAAACAGCCCACTGCAGTAGTACACGCGACATAGGTTTGCCACCACTAATTTAGAGTAATAAAAATGGGAAACTTGGGGAGGTGATTTTTTAAAACATGAGGAGGCAAGGTGTGGTGGTGTACACTTGTAATCTCAGCACTCAGGAGGCTGAGGAAGTTGTGGATTCAAGACCAGCCTGGGCTACAAAGAGAACTCAAGTCCAGCCTGAGATGCATAGTGAGACCATATCTCTCTCTTTTTTTTTTTTTTGACAGAACTGGGGATTGAACTCAGATCCTTGCATTTGCCAGTCAAGTGCTTATCCTACTGAGCCATCTCCCTGGCCCCTAGACCATATCTCAAAATAGACCAAAAAAAAAAAAAGGGAGAAGGTGAGAAAATTTTGCAAAATCTAGTGGAGTATATCCAGACTGGTCTGGGAGTCATGGTGATCCTCCTGCCTCAGCCTCTCAAATGGTGGGATTTTAGGTATGCACTACCACACCTGGCTTCAAAGCAAAATCTCATTGGAAAAGAATGTTACTCTTGGGGTGGGTGGTACTGGAAATTTAACCAAAGGCCCTTGCACTGAGCTACATGCCCAGCCCTTTTTATTTTGAGACAGAGTCTCAGTTGAATTGCCCAGGCTGGGCTCAAATCTGTGATCCTATTGCCTCAATCTTCCAGTAGATGCTGGAACTTAGCACGATACCCTGCTAAGCATGTTGCTTTATTTATTTTTATTTTTATTTTTTTTCTTTTAAGCTTGTTACTCTATTGAGTTGTCCACCTCACCAGTATGTGAGTAAAGAGAAAAGGAGTTATGTGTGTATCTGGAATAAATTGTGCCTCTAAAATACCTAACTCCTCTGGGCCTGGTAGCTCATTAAGGACATTAGCAATGAAGATACTATAAGAAGTTCCCAGCACCGGAGACTAGAGGTGAGAGAACAGCCTGAACTGCACAGGGAGACCTTACCATGATGAAAGAAAACAGTCACGCGCCAGAGCAGAGTGCTGGAATCAACAAATCCAAGCCAGCTTGGCTGGTCTAGCTTAGTGGTATTTGCGAGGCTGAGACAGGAAGATCCAGCTGAGCCATCCCAGACCATACAGTGAGACCGTGCTCAAAAGCAAACTCGGGGGCTGGTGAGATGGCTCAGTGGTCTAAAGCACTTACTTAGAACAAGCTTAGCAAAGCACAAGGGACCGCGCTTCAATCCCCCAGCACCACATGCCAGCCAGCCCCGCCCCCTGGTGGGCTGAGCTGGTCACACACAATAAATAAATATTAAAAAAAAATTAAAAAAAAAAAAAAGCAAACTCGGTTTATCTGTTTTGTCTCTCCTTTTTCTTTTCTAATTGGGAGTGGGGAGCACTGGAGATGCAGTAGACAAGTAGTAGGAAAGACAAAATAGGGGCATGTTGAGAAGAAGAAGAGTTCAGATCCAGAAATACTCTACAGCATTTGTTCTCCTGCTGCCCTTAGATGGGCAACATCTGCATCACCTGAGAACTTGTTTGCAGTACAAACTGGGACCCTACTTAAAGTCTCCCAAATCCAAAGTTGGTATGCATCTTTTTTTTTTTTTTAAATATATTTAGTATAGGGTCTCACTATACAGATTGGACTTGTGATCTTTTGTGTTTTTCAGCCTTCCAAGCATTGGGATTACAGGTGCGTACCACCACCAAATCCAGAATTGGGGCAGAAGCCCATCATGCCCATTTTAACAAGGCTGAGGTGATCTGGTTGCCCAGGATGTGCTCAGGGCTTCCAGGTGGAGGCTGCAGTACCTCCCCACTCCCTCGCCCCCCCAGGCCCTCCTGGCTCTTTATTCTGACCACAGGGAAGACCAGCTGCCCAGCTTGTCCTGCTGCCTGCTTCCTCTGCTCTTGGTCCTGCTGCCAGTATTCAGAAGTCAGGGCCACCCCCTGCAGGAGAAGCAGAGAGGAGGCAGGAGTGGCAGGCTCATCTATTATCCAGACTGCCACTATCCCAGCATGGTGTTAAAAGAGGAAATAGAGTAGTTGGCCAAGCCACAGACACTTGAGCTTGCTTGTGTTCAGATACTGCCCCCTTGTGGTGAGTAATAGTGGCTTTGAATGTCAACCCTCAGGGTTTTTTTTTTTTTTTTTTTCTTCTAAGGGGAGTACGAAATAGTATTAGAACAAAAAATTACAACTGATACAGAATTTCACTTAACAAAGTAATGTTGGGGCCAGCGAGATGGTTCAGTGTGTGTCAGGCAAGCGCAAGGGCCTTTTTTTGGTTCCACCAAAAAAAAAAAAAAAAGTGAATTTCACAGTATTTGTTGTAATACATAGTGTTGTCTTTTTTTTTTTTTTTGTGGAACCAGGGATTGAACTCAGGCCTTTGCACTTGCCAGGGAAGTGCTTATTCTACTGAGCCATCTCCCTGGCCCCATAGTATTGTCTTTCAACCAGTTATTCATATTACTAGATATATGCATATAAAATTGGAAGAAGAAAAAAGAAATGTGTAGGAAATTAAGAGAAAAAGTACAAACAATTGAAAAATGGAGACAGAGTATTATCTGCTCCTTCCCATGGGCCCACAGAAACGCACAGTACAGTTGTCCAGACCATCCTGCTTATATACATACATGCATGTCTTCCTCCCCTTCCCCTCCTGTCCTTCTCAACTCAGTAACTTTTCTTTTGCCTTAGTTCATTCCCTTTCCCCAGCATCTGTTGTACCCTTCAGATTCCATTTTCTCTTTCAGGTTCTCACTAAGACAATAAGTGAAATAAATCAGACCTGCGTGTGCAAACATCTTATTGTCCCCTTAGTTTTTTAAATAGATTTCATTCTTTTCAGTTACAGTACTCATTGGTTAAGCCAAGTGTGGTGGCACATGACTGGTAGGGATTTGAGCCCAGCTTGGGTGACTAAGCAAGACCCTGCCTCAAAATAAAGTGCCCTGTACCATGAAGAAAATAAAACAAAATTGGGCATGCTGGCACATACCAGCACTCCAGAGGCTGAGACAAGATCACCACAAGTTCAAGGTCAATTTAGGCTACATAGTGAATGCATACCAGCCTAAACTACATAATAAACTCACTTTAAAAAGGGGGGGAGGCCTGGCCAGATAGCTCAGTACAGTAAAGCGCTTGCTTAGGCAGAACACAGAGGCCAGGGTTCAATCCCTGGTATGCTGTGCCATCCCTGCCCCCAGGGCATGCTGAGACAGCAATTGAGACTGGGTGTGGTGGAGTGTGCCTGTAATCCTAGCACTCAGGAGGCTGAAAACAGGAGAATCACTACGCCTGATCTACGTAGTGAGACCATGTAGACCCTGTACTAAATACATTTTAAAAAGAAAAAAACCAGGGCCGGGGGTATAGCTCAGCAGCATAAGCACCTGCCTGGCAAGTGCAAGGTCCTGAGTTCAGTCCCCAATGCCAAAAAAAGGGCCTGTAAGAAATTATTCTAGTTATAAGCGTTTCCCTGGCAAGTGCAAGGGGCAGGGGGCCTGCCCATCAGCTCAGTTGTTTAAGTGACTGCTTAAACAAAGCAATCAGGATGCTGTGGTTCAATCCCCAAGCCTTACCAGACCTTCCCTGAAGGCATTCTGAGCCAAAAAAAAAA